GATAAAGGAGGCAATTTATCAGGAAGACCGAACAATGATAAATGGGTATCTACTAATAACACAGCCTAAAAATACATGACTGAAAATTGACAAAATTATAGGGGGAAATAAATAAAATCTCCTGTGATTTTAACACTACCCCCTCTTAAAAAGTAATAACACTGCTGAATAAAACATCAGTAAATACACAATATCTCAACAATGATGGTATTTATAAACCAAAACATAAACCACAGAATTCACATTCTTTTCAAATGCATACAGTGTATTCAAGAACAGACTTTATGCTAGGTCATAAAGTGAATTCCAGTATCTTTAAAAGGACTGAAATCTCTCATCACAACAGAATTAATTTAGAAATTAGTAACTGTAAGAAAGCCAGGAAAATTCAAAGTACCTGGAAATTAACCTGTTTCTAGATGATCCAGGGTCAAAAGAGAAACTAGAAAGCATCTAACTTCACCATGAAAATGCAATATATAATTTGTGGAATGTACCTAAAGCAGTGCTTAGAGGATAATTTGTGGCTTTAAATGGTTATTTAGACTTTTTAAAGAATTTATTTAGAATTTTTAAAAGGTCAAAATCCATGACATGGAGAGACTCTTAGCTACATACTGCTAGCTGGATGTGAGGCCTGGCACATCCACAGAGGAAGTGAATAGCTCCAGCTAGATGGAAAAACTGGGGCAGACTTGCAAACTGTCAGATGGTGAATGCATCCCCACCCCAGCTGGCAAAGGCAGGAAGCTCTGCTGGCTGGAGGTGTCTGAGCATGGCACCTGACCAGTCACTGGCTGGCCACGGAGCTACATTGACTCAGTGGCAACTTCTAGGAAACCAGGCTTTAAAAACTTGAGAAGAATTTTTTTAAAACCAGTTATATAAGGTTCTACTTCCAGAAGAGCAGAGTAAACCCAAAGGAAGGAGAAGGTATAAAAAGGGGGGCAATGGGGAAGCAGAAATAACAAAGTAAATAACAAAAAAACAATACAGAAAAACAAACTAAGCCAAAAGCTAGGTTCTTAGAGAAGGTCACCAAAATTAGTAACCCCAGAAAGAACGATTCAGAAAGACCAAGAACACAAGCCACCACTATCACAAAGGAAAAGCAGTTATTACTACAGACTCCACAAACATTAAAAGGCCGACCAAAAGCACGGGTCACGTTTAAAGTTATAAGCAGCCTTTTAGCAAACACAGCGCTGCATAACTGCCTCAAAGAGTCATGTCCAGAACTCCAGTATTTATCTGTTCAGCAGAATCAAAAGCTGTGCTTTTTAAGTCTTCTTTCACACAAGCACACTCACACTTTGAACTGTAGTTACTTTGGACTGAAGTGAAGCCAAGCACCTCCCCACCCCAACAAATCATCCTGAACAAGCTCTTACAGTAGCACAGCAGGAATGTGTGTAACTACCTGAATCTGGGCTGGATTTATAAAATAGTTGTTAGCTTTCTACCTCCTTTAAAGTATCTTCATCAGTTTCTGCTTTTTAAAAATTTCTTGTAGTAGCCCAGTGTGCACCAATCTCCAGCTTTCAAATGAAAAGCTCCTTTTCTCAAGCTATTTCTGCGAAGATTACAGGCAGACAGATAATGTAAGGACACTCGATACAATGTAATATGTAAAGGTTGAGAGTAAGACTAGAATGTTCCCCTATATTTGAAATAGTCTTGAGCTCTTTCTCCCATTTAACAAAATTTTATGAGAGACACAAAAATCGTAAATACAGATGACTGATTCAGATGTAACCATTAAAGGTGATTTCTTACTGACTTAAGAGAAAAATTTTCCAACTGTGAGGCTAAGTGACCTTCTCCAGGGCCTCCAGCCCACACTGGTCTTATCTGAAGAACCAGAAGCAAAGAATGTTGAAGGTATGACTCGTGGATTATCGCTATCGGAACACCCCAAAGCTGCAAGGGACCCTTATCTTCACAGCAATAACAAACAATAAAACAACAGGAATCAAGTCAGATGACGTGCCCATTCGTAAGAAGGCTTTCAATAATCAGTATAAGGGTTCCTAGAAAAAGACGATCATATTCAAGATGTTGAAAATGGTTTTTAAAGTCTTCATTACACTTAGAGTTATCAAAAGGAAAAGACAGGTGTCTGTTAAAAATGTAATTCCTTCAATGTAAATCAAAAATATTTTGTAACAGTGCCAAAAAAGCCATTATAAGCTGCTATATAAATAGGCTTTTAATGATTTTTCCAATGTTACATTATTGCTCTAACAGACCCTCTGTGTTTCCGCTGAAATGAATAATTTGTTTTAGGTAACAAAGAGGACTTGCAGCACATTAGATACCCGAGGTCTCTCGCATGGTTAGAATTACCACTATGAAAATAAAATTTACGTTGCCTTTCATGCAGTGAAACATCTGCATAAATTTAGAAATCATGGCAAAAAAAAAGGACAGATGAGATAGATCCATCTTGTACATGGTGTGTCATTTTACATCATAATGCCTTGAATATCATCCTTTTCCATCTATAAATATTTAACAATATTTATTAACATCAGATACCATTCTAGTCACTGAAAACACAATGGGGAATGAGAGAGAGTCTCTGCTCTCCGAGAGTTTACTGTCTATCAAAAAAAAAAAAAATCAAACAAGGTATATCAATCAAGGCTGCCAGGCCAGCACAGAGAATGAGCTCTGAGCCCCACAAAGGGGTCCTGGAAGACATCTGGAGAGACTCTGTTTTGGCTGAGAAAAGTTGGGCAGCAGGACACAGCCAGGCTCTGGAGGGAGGGGGTGAGTGAAAGATGGCCTCTGCCAAGGACACCCAGCCCCGGGTCCAGCAGGCATTTATGCGAAGACCTGTCTATTCTGTTCAAAGAGATCGTGGAGTGGAAAATTAGATTTTACTGGTAAAGCTACACGTATCAAAAGATTAGAGTCATCGACCTCTTAATCTAGGAGGTAAAAGGGTAAAAGGTCACAATTTCGCCTTGGCTTCCGCAGTCCCTATACCACCCATTCAACACACTCGCCCACTTGGCACAGGAGGACCGAGGAGTGAGCAGGGCAGTGCAGACCATCCCAGCAGGGCTGCTGTGCCCCACGATGCTGCGGTGCCAGTTCCTGCCTTCGGTAGTACTGAGGAAAACTTTTAGCTTAAAAGCTACTCTTCAAAGAATCATTCAGTAATAAGTAAGGGGGCAGACGTTACTGGACATGGGGTGTGGTACGGGGGGAATGTGAAAGAAGTGCTGACACCCCGCACACAAATTTATGCTACTGACTTGTGTTTTACAGATTTCAAAGCAATTTTATGCATTCTCATTTTTACTCTTCACAGCAAGGGCAGTCAAGCAGGTATTTTAATAATCACCTACCATTTGTCAGGCACTGCTGGTGGACTGCCCGGCCCGTTGTTGGGAATTTAATATCCATGATCTGATTTCACAAAGTAATCATCATCTCCATCTCTCAAATGAGGAACACGGGGTTTAGAGAGTCTACATAACCTGTCCAAAGACCCAAGGCTCACAAGTGGCAAAGCCCATGTTAGTCCCCATGTCAGTGACTTCAAAGCTGGCACGTCTACGTGTGACACTGCAGCCGTACAAATACACTATACCACTATACACACTATAGGCTTCAGCGAGGAGTAGCTTCTGAAGTGTAGCACCCAGCAGAGGAAGAGTGGCTAGACTTTCCCAGGGGGGAGGTCTAATTTGGCGTTCTCCCAGCCACACTGAAGCCACACCACAGACTTAATCGCAGGGTCCCTGTCTTCCATTTGGAGTTATCTTTAGCTCCTAATAATTCAGTCCCTTTGGATGTTATCTAAATTGTCTTCCTAAGGATTGTGGGGGAATGTCTTACAGAAACAGATCTAAGCAAATACTTAAGAAGAAACATCATTCACATCCTGCATCCAACATTATTCCTGGTGCTATGTGCTCCTCAAGTACATTTCACGCTGAAATCTACTACTACAAAATAAAAGTTCAAAGCAATGCCAAGCTTTATATACATAATCTCATAATATCCACTATCATCCAGACCATCACCCTCAATTTACAGAAAGCTTATCAAGGTTAAATAATTTGCCCAAGGTCATATAATGTAAGTAGTGTTGCAATACGGTTTCAGAGCTTAAGCTTTTAGTCCCTACAATACAGTCTGTAGTCTGACCATGCAATGGTCAGATAATTTTTTTTAAAAGTACAATAATCCGAATGGGTGTATTTTCAGAAGCTTTCATATGCTATTACTCATATAGTTACTTTATAAAAATTATATGGTTTTAGTATGTGATATTTTGTTAAATAAAAGAAAAAAATAAATTAGATATAGCATTAAAAATTTTCCATTTCTCATATTAAAGACCAAGGTATTTGAAATCTATTAGACTAAATAGCTTACAATACATATTTTCTTCAGTAATTCATGCTTAGAAAATAGAATGTTTTGTGATGGTTAATATCAAAACTATTTAAGCTCCAATGAGAGATGTGAACCTATTTAAATTTAATCCTATTTAAAAGCAAATAAAATATCTTTCAAAGAATTTGCTTGTAAAACAAGTATCTTATACAAGTTTAATGGAAGGATTAAATTACAAAAATTTATACACAGAAAAAGTACAGAAATGAACAGGTCAATGCAGGTCTCAATTCTTGGTATCCTCACCCCACACACACACCATCTTCCTCATTGCCGCTTGACATTCTCAAAGTAAATTTGCAACTCATTTTTTTTTAAAAGCACAATGGGAAAGGACACAGAAAGGAGGTAAATGAAAAAATACACTATGTAGTATATCTAACTAATAAATAGATTTGTCTTAAGTTCTTATTTCATGTGATAACTTACTAATTATTTCTTTATTTCAGAGAAAAGCCCCCCAAAAAACCCCCCAAAAAAACCCAAGCAACAATGCTTGTAAGCAGCTGACTGATCCCATAGTGTTTAGATGGGAAGGGAGGCTCCCACTTAAGTTAATACACAAAACATAAGTCCAAAACACTTACCAATTTGTACTTGTTCAGGCTGGCTGAGGGAGACAAATGCTGATGTGTCATCAATCCAGGATATCTGAATGTTACCTGAAATATCAAATTAAAAGTAGAGTGAACACCTGATCATTTAGATAGTTACCAGATTTCACATGTACATCTGATATATTTCAGTATATGTATTAACAGAAAGAGAGATGAGGTGCTGGTTTAAAACCTGATCAAAATTTCAGCTATAATCTACTATAACAGTATAGCAGTTATTTGGCTTACAACTTCAAGAGAACAGAAAAACGGGGGGGTTGAGGGGGGAAGCTACTAAAAATTTATTTTAAAAATGAAAGAAAGATCCCTTCTGGATTAAATCCTAGGGTGCCTCATCATATGAGTAATAGCATATGATTCAGATTATTGTACTTTTTAAATCCTGGGGTGCTTCATCATTAGCCAAAGTTAGAGACTTTCCTTCCAAAATCACTCATAAAAATCAGAGACCACAGAAGTTCAAAAACACAACTATTTCTTTCTGAAGACACAAACTTCAAAAACTATGAGTAGAAACATAAAATGAATTAATGTAGCAAGAATATGAAAAATGGGGGGCCTCCCTGTTGGCAGGGGTTAAAGTCTCAGTGCTATGAAGCTATCTCCAGCCACTGCAGCACGAGTTCAATCAGACAGTGGGATGGAGATGGCTGAGGAGGAGAAAGGTGATGAGGAACAGTGGGGTAGGAAGCTGGAGAAACGAAGAAGGAAAGCAGAGATCGAGTTATTTGCTGCCACACCTCCTGAAGAAGTACAGGGGACTGGAATTTTTTTAAATGGATATAAACAGCACCAGTATTTAGCAATGAAAAACATTTTAATTCCTGCTAAAATTTTTCAAAGGCTAGAATCCTTGACAGTTACTATCTTCCACTGTCAAAGAAAAAAACCCTCACTTTTTGCTGCACAGTGAGGCCCCCCGTTATGTTCTCAGATACAGAAGTCACGATCATGGGGTCACCTCTCCCCCTTCCCCCGTGCATATTGTCATTTAGATATATAATAGCAGTAAACATTTATTGAGTAGTTACTATATGCCACACACTAGTTTATAGATTAGCTCATTTAACCCTTATGACATGCCTATGAAAGAGGTGGCATTAACATTATTTGATGATTATTGTTATTGTTATTATTACCTTCACCAAAGACACAGGGATAGAGAGGCGACTTGCCTGATGTCACACAGCTGAGAGCATTTATTTTATTTAGTCGAAATTTGACTACAAAGGGATAAGAACTTAATACGAGATTTAAAAAAAAACACATATCAAAAGCTTTCAAAGGAAATGAGTCACTGCATTTCTTTATCTGTATTTAAATTAAAAACCAAGACTAGAATTCAGAAGACTTAGAGACTACCAGCAAAAACTAGGATAACTTTTCAGAAATATGGTTCCACTTACTTTTCTAAAATTAAGTGTGTAAAGCTTTTTACTTACAAAAACTAACATGTGCTTATTTTAGAAAATACAGAAAAGCAAAAAGAGGGAGAAAAAATCCTACCTAAAACACTTCTTGGTCATAACATGATACTTCTTTGCAGCCTGATTTCTATACAATGCTTTTTTAGTTATATAGAGATCCTACTTTGTATCTGCTTTTCACTCCAAATGTTAAAACAGAAATACCTCTACCAACTCTTAAACAGTTTCCATAATTTTAATGGCCACATACCAGTCTGCTGAGATACATAAACATTCATTAAAGAGTCTGCCTGAGCAGTTAGGTTTTTGCTACCTCCATTCACTTTATCCAAGAATTTTCAAAGAAAACAAATTAAATACTTCATTTATTAAAATAAGGAGGCAATGCTGAAGACGTATGAGCTGAACAGCCTTTATAACCCTAACCAGAAAAAGGCTCAACTGAACATGACTGCCTGGCTTGATGGAAAGGAAACAGCCACTCTGCCTGGCACACACCATGCGCCTTGGTCCTCTGAGACATGTTTGCCTGCTTTGACTATTCAGTGGCAAGTGGTAACCACCTGCCCTTATTAAACAAACATTCTCTGAATTGACACTGGAAATGATTTGTCCTCAACTTATTTTCCATGGTCAGCAACAGGACAATCATAGTAACTATACCTTACTTTCCATGAATTAATAGTACTCCATTGTGGAACTCCAAGTTCCTCAGATCACATTAGCTCAAATAGAGCAGCATACTAAGCTCCCCTCCACAATTCCACAGGTGAGATTAAAACCTTTATCTTAATATTAATTTATGCTCAAACTGAAGCCATCCATGTATCTCTAAACCAAGTGTAGCAAAATCATAAAAAGCAGGTGTGTGCTTGTGATTTACTTACCAAAGGCACTGAAAAGCTTGTAAAGGTCACTGGTTTTCCATTCTTTAGGGAATGTCACATGGAGAACATGGTCACGTTTAGGTTGCACTATAAGACAAATTATTAATGAGAGGTTGATAGCTGAAAAATGAACAAATGGACACTACACCAATGGTTCTTTGATGAAACTAAGGCCAAGTTTTACCAAGGGTTGTCCTTTCAAGATGTTTTACTAAATTTTTGCTTTCTCCTTTTAATCTAATTGTGTATTTGTTTATTTAGCATTCTGAATGCTACATGGTTACTGAACATGGGTTACCAAACATGGGATTGGCAGAACTCTGCCATCTTAGCCACACAAGGTACTGATACTTCATAGAACCCCAACACAGCCTCCCTTGTGGTGTAGAAGATAAGTCCCACTACTGTCAATGCTACATCCTGAGTTCAATCCCTGGCCAAGGAACTAACCCACATGGCCCAGCAGACCTCTCCTGTCTTACCCACTGCTCCCCTTAGCAGTGTATTTCCGTCAATCCACCTGTTCTGCTCCCCACTCTACCTCTGGTGAATCCTCTTATCCCCTACACCTCTGGCCTACATCCCAGCTCTTCTACATCAAAATAATAATAATAATAATAATAAATTTTTTAAATAAATATGTAGAACCTACAACTTGAACACTAGCCATGCTATACAGAAAGATCTTTTTTCAAGAAGTTCCTATGCAAATTTCTTTTTTAAAAAAAGGGTTGTCCTGTTCAAGGTGTTTTACTAAACTTTTGCTTTCTCCTTTTAATCTAATTGCACATGTGCTTATTTACTTTTAAAAAAAACACACACTGTCACACTAAATGGGCTAATTGTGTTTAAGCAGCATCAGTCCTGAGTCACAAACTTGTGCTCTCATCCCAGACCTACCACATAACTGTACAACTCCGAGCAAGAACCCAGCCGCTCTGCACATTCCTGGTTGTAAATTGGGATTGCGGAGAGTCAGCTTGCAGAATTGTTGTGAAAACGACAGTTGAACATGTTAGTCTGAGATGAAGTATGACAAAGCATGGCCTCAAACTGTTGTGCAAAAGATTGTCATCATCAAGCAGGAGTCACCCATTTCTACATCCCTTTGAATTGATGAAGGCAAAGAAACCAAGGCAAGGAAAGAGCAATGGGAGAGAAGGGCAGGGGGTAATGGGAATAAATTATCCTTCTAAGGTTTTCAATAAGAAAAGTAAATCATCCTACTAAGCTTAAATATATGCATACGTAAATAACTAGAAAGTAAAGTGCTTACTGGGTTACTGAGATAGCTAGTGCATCTTAAAGTCTACTGTACATCTTATAGGACATTACGAGTATAGAGTTCTGAGTGAAAATTGAAAAAAAAAAAGAGAGAAGATATCGTTTTTAAAAATTCAACTCATGCATCAACTGGAAAATTTAAGTACAGAGATGAGTTAATCAAGGCCCGAGGGTACCATTAACTTAAGCACAGTATTCCTATCAACCACAAAATCACTGCCCATTTTTAAGTGAATAAAGCTCTTTCTTCAGTAATAGTTTTCCTGTTATCCCTTCCAAAACACACACTTAAATGTGCAGAGGCAATGAGAAAATAAAAATTCACTTACAGTCTGGGCCTTCCAAGTTTAGATAGGGGATATCCATGACTCTCATAAGAAATAACCTACAAAGAGAAAAGAAAAAAAGAAGTAATGGATTAATTTCTTTTAAAAAACTGATACAGGCATCTATTAAATTTCCTCGAAGATGCTTCTTGATTATATTACTCCATTTCTAATGTCATTTGTAAAAGTTCTTAAGATGGACATCAAAAGCTTTTCCCTAGGGCTATATATTCAACATAAATAGGGAGCCAATTGGTCAAACTGGTTATGCCCAATACCCACGACCAGTCCTGGTTCTCAGAGGCTATTTAGTAAGCATTAGCGAAAGAAGTGAAATTTGCAACAAAGAGCTGCCTTGTTAGTCAAGAGAAAGTGAGAAAACAAATATTTATTTCTGAGTGTTAACCCTCTTCCTGGCTTATGAACACTGTCCCTATGAGTTGAGTAGTGGCCCTTAGGTTGGTGTTTTGTGAGCTGAGGACAACAGTACAGTTTCTTTTCTTTCACTGAAATGCAAAATCATTTGGATGGATCTTTCTCTTACTGGGTGGACTGCAGAGTCTGGGGTAAGTGACTAAGCTCACTGTGATCATATAGAGGCTAGCTCTCTGTTGTAAAGTAAGTGCCAATCTCAAAAACTCACACCATCATTGTCATTGAAAACCCATTAAAATTCCCATGCAAACCAATCCTTGGTAAAGAAAATGATCACCCTGATAGAAACCGCTGCAATTAGTTTAGGTACACCTTCCAAAAGGGATACAAAAGCACTTATTAAAGTGTATTTGTAAACAACCACTCTCGGTAATGCCATTCAATTTTCTTTTATTTGCGAGATTATGGAAGAACTATCAGGCATTCTCTTGTTTGTGAGATGATTTTAATGAGGTTAAGATAGTGATATATTGTGTAGAGACCACATTATACAGCAAATTATAAAGGCAGTCCAAGTGCCCAAGAAGCAATTAGTTTGGCTTCACTGACCTGCAATTAAGCTGCATTATTACCAGGCATTCAAAAGCCAAGCAGGGGGCCTCCCCGGTGGCGCAGCGGTTGAGCGCTGGGTTGCGAAGCTGCCCGCAGCCTCAGCGGCGCCGGTTCAATCCCCGGCTGCTCCCCGGCCACCGGAGGAGGGTCCCACATGGTGCGCAGACCTCTCCTGCCACCCGCTGCTCCCCTCAGCAGTGTACTTCGGTCCTTCTGCCTGCTCTGCTCCCCGCTCTGGCTCTGGTGAATTCTCTCACCCTCCCGCGCTTCTGACTGTACCCAGTGCATGTATAAACAAAGCAAGCAAACAAACAAATAAATAAATAACATGCCTCTATAAAAAAAAAACAAAAAAAAAAACAAAAGCCAAGCAGGGCATGATCTAGTTTACAAATGGAACATCAGCAAGAAAAACACTGTTGTGTTGACACCAGAACAAACATAAGTCATGGTACTCGGTGGATTGAGAGCTTGTTCCCTGGACTACAATTCAATAAACCAGATCCTAAGGTGAGAAAGTGAAGAAACCAAATTTATTTTAGGCTCATGTGAACTATTCTGATCTGGTAGTTGTTTCGCTGAATTTAAGAAACAGGATCTGCAATGTCAGAAGACAATAAGAACATAAAGCACGTAGTAGGTTCTTAGTGGTAGCATCTATTACTATTATTGGAAACCAGAAACTGGAAAATTATTCCTGAACTAGAAGGCTGAATATTTTTATGCTTCAGATAATTTTCAATTATCCATTTAGTAAATTTAGAGATGGTGTCCAAGTTAAAAAAAAAAAAAAGACTTTAATTTAAAAGTTCATGTGTATCAGATACCACAAAAATATTAATTTTTACGCTAATTTTAAAGAAAAGTAAAAGCTGAATTGACAAGATGCTCATTGTTATGCTGTCAAATACCTGATCATCAAAACCAACATTGAGATTCAATAATATATGGGGGTTGGTAAATTACAGTTCATCATTTCAACAGAACATTAAACAATCAAAATAAGTCCAAAACTTCAAAACGTAGATAAGTGGTGGTACAATTTTAAGTTTTAAAAAGCACAAAATTTTAAGATTACAGCTTTGTAAAATATTTATGTCATTACACCAAGGATAATACCTCTCCCCCCGCCCCTCCCCCAGGAAAAAAGCCAATGGGTTTGGGAAAATGAGCTTTGGGTTTTGTTTTTTTTTTGTTTTTTTTACATTCCTTTCACTATAATTTCATTAATGTAAACAAGAAGACAAAGGCTGTCAAAATGGGAGGGAGGGTTAGGTTTCAACTAGAGACGTTTAGAGAAAGCCCAAAAGTGGCAAGACGGGGAGCCAGCCTTCTGCAGCCTGTGCTCCTTCGCCTGAGGTAGGAAGAGGTGTGGAGAGCAAGTTTTATTTCTAAAATCAGCACATCTCAATAACAAGTACACAAAACCTATTTTCCTATAAATACAAACAAGGGTTACACTTGATAAGACTTCCCAAATTTATCTCACCATGTGAATGTTTAAAAAACACTTTTGAAAGCTACCTTCATTCAAGCAACATCCAGGCTATTTGTTCTCTAATATTTCACCTGAATCGTAAATACCACCGCTGCTATTTCAAATCTATTCTCAGCTGAAACAGTCCAAAGGTTTTTTATTAATTAATTGACTCTACCTTTCTGCTTACTCAATAATCTGTCAAAAAAAAAATTTGTTTCAAATGAATTATTAATAACACTTCTCACTTTCCCCCTCTGTCTCCAGCTTACCCTGGACTTTAAAAGAGAACTGCAACAGTCCCAAACCGGGAAGAACAGGAAACCAGCTGTGTGAGTGAGGCTCGGCAGATGTGCCAGTGGACAGAGCTGGGCCTTGCAATCCCGAGACCCACTAAAATTGCAGCTGAGTGTGGTGGAGCTGCAGCAAAGGGGCATGTCCCCCAGCCCCTCAAGTCCGGCTGTGACACCCCCGCCCTTGTGAAGTCAAGTGAGAACACCGCATTGTATGCATACAGCCCACGGGAACTGGCCATCAAAAGGCCCACACTGACTCCCTGGCATGATCTGATGAACTGTTCATCTGACTTGACAGATTTCATTTTAACAAAGGAGGAAATGCGGAGGCAAGCAGAGATGCTGATACATACAAGAAAGGACATTCCTGTGAGCTGGACTGAAGAGCAATCCCTCCCAGCAGGCCTTTCATCTGCAGGCACCAGCGACACTCAACCACCATTCACATTTCTCATTCTTTCTGTTTGGTGAGGGTCCCCGAGGGCTGCAATTTGGTTAAGATGCTTGAGAGGGAGCAGGACGCTTTCTGATGAAATCTTATTTTAGCACTTCTCTGAAGGATTGACACTAACTCTTTCAAGACTAAATTTAAAATTCCCATTCCATACAGTGGCCAATTTGACCCCAGGATTCTATCCTCAGAAACTGTATAACTCAATTCACATGCTAAAGGCCAACAGATGAACTGAACTCTTTCTGACATCATCAGTGTTTTATTTATTTATTTATTTATTTATTGATCGTCAGTGTTTTAAAGTCCCACTATTAATGACTGGAGATGCTGTTGATCCCAGCTTTCTGACTTATCCAGAAAGCTCACAGCTCACTCCAGGTTTTTCTCAGCAGATGGGGAACTTCAGCTCAGACTTAACAGGCTCCACAGCGAAGGCAGTGTTCGATGATTCTATCTCCAGAGACGTCCATCGCCATGACCCATACACTGACCCATGTGGCACTCGCCAAGAGCCATCCCCTCTCAGGCTTGCTGATCAGGGTAGTATGACACTGTGACCAAGACCATGTGACAGGGACCCTCGTCATCAAAGAATTTCATTCCAGAAACGAAACTTCTCAGGAGAACCTTGAGACCTTATCAAACTGTGGTTCCCCAGACCAGCTACCCCGGCACCACCTGGGAACATGTTAGAAACACAGGCCAAGTCCTACCAACTCAGACACTGAGAATCACTGAGTTAACAGGAAAAGGGTGAGTTCAAGGTGTGTGGTTAACTGCTATTAGTAGTGATTCGCTTATTAGTTGGGTAATTATGACTCGTGCCAACTTCTCCAAAAATGTATTAGTCTTTATGATTAGTTTGCATGAAAAGATTTGGCCTAACACAACACAAAACTAGTGAAACAAATGCCAAAGGCTACCTCAAAATTTAGGAAGCAGTAACTGAAGGTTTTGACTACTCCCTGAACCAGGAATACAACTGTGGCAAGCAATGAGCTCTCAGGAAGAGACAAATTTGGGGCAATTACTGCCGATAGCTATTGTTCTTCTCATTTTTAAGAAGTTTAAAAAAATGACTTCTACTCCTCGCTTGGCAACTCGCGGGAAAAAATCCTAACCTGTTCTGGGAACTGGCCACAACTGAGCAGCTCTAGCATCACACTCTGAGCTCTAGCTATGAAGGCAGCACAGTGACGGGCCAACACGAGAGGCAAGTGCACGGCACAGGGGTTGGGCACCTCCAGCCTTATCAAAAGTCTCTGATCTCACCAACAAGTTTCAGACACAGCCACCGGCAACCCCAGAACGCACAAGACTGCTCTAAGAAGTACACTGAGATCAAAGGTTATTCTTTGATGACACAAGAGTTTGCCTTGGATTCTGGCTTATCTAAAACATTCCCTAGATGTCCGGTGAATAAAAAAGGATTGCAAAACAATGCCAGGATTGACCTACTTTCAGCAGCCAGTGCAAGAAGACAAAAAAGGCCAAATGTGATGTTCACAAATGCACAAAGTCCTGAAGGTGACTCAGGAATGCTCTGCCCCAGGGGCCCAAATCTCTGGGAACTGAAAAGATCATTTGAATTCTCTAAAATGTTGCCTTACCGGGGATCATGCCCAGCGAAATAAGCCAGAAAGAAAAAGAAAAATACCAGAGGGTCTCACTCATAGCAGGAATTTAGAAAACCTAAATAAGGGACCAGGAAAAAGACTAATTATAATAAAGTAAAAATCAAAATCAACAAGCAACTATAAACCAGAAACACACTTGGGGGGGGGGGAGTAGGATCAAAACAAGAAGGGTGGGAATTGTATGGGGGACTATAACCAAGATGAAAAT